CCCCCCCCCCCCCCCCCCCCCCCCCCCCCCCCCCCCCCCCCCCCCCCCCCCCCCCCCCCCCCCCCCCCCCCCCCCCCCCCCCCCCCCCCCCCCCCCCCCACGTGCTTGAGAAGAAAATAAAACAGACGTATACCACTCTATTTGTATATGAGCACAAACGACTAAGAGCTAGAGAGAGAAAAATTCATAGGCAATACTGTACATACCAGTCCACGTCGATATAGTTAGTCGTTTTGTTTCTAAATCTATACCTAGAAAAGAAGTTGATCCAGTTATTACGTTACAGTAAAAGAATGTTAAAAATCCAGCAGATCCATAATATTGTATTCACTGTCTACGAACATAAACGAACATAATATTTTCGCTATACTTGAGCAATCGGCTGCGGTTTCTGCAATTAATGTAATGGTCAAGGTTTATGACTAAAAAACCTTATTTCTCTTAAAAGTACATACACCACTCGATGGCTATCTTGCTAAAACACAGTGAATAAAACACAAGTTAAGTTTTGTAGATCATATTTGTACGCATGAAAGATAAAATGTTTCTGTCTTTTGTAAGTACGTGGGTTTCAACCGCCTGTATGTTTCCGCTTCGAGAAGATATGTGAATAGGGAAAAGTACTTGATACGTTCAGTACGTTTTAAGAGAACAAAGTATTCTTTAACTGGTGTGCTTAATTCTATAGCTGGTGTACCACCTTGTAAGCAGACATGGTGGGATGACAGCGAGTGGAGAAACGCCTACTAAAGGAGTACCTTTAACTGCTGGTATACTGTTTGCTTCAGCAAAAGACATGCTTTACAGAAAAAGCTTTAACATATACAGATTATTGTCAGTAGATTGGAACGAGCATGACTCTAAATCCATTAGCGCAAAACCGACTTTTTATACGGGGAACAGAATCGGTCCAAATATTTTTTACCCTATGTACAAAACAAGATTTCTCGTGTAGCGTACAATTATGCAGTCGATATTAGCCTGAATAGTGGTACCACTTAAAACGCGCTACTATTCGCGCCAACTGAAAGCAAACTTGATAACGGAAAAGAAAAGTATTTCATCTGCAGTTCGAAAGCCAGTCCGGATACTCTATGAAAAACAGAAAATTCGATTTCTCACGAAGGACAGAAGGCTAAGGTCGGAAATTTTTGCAGCATACGGGCTTTGCTTAGGACTAATATTGCTGTGAGTTTCAGCTGTTTAACTCATTGGAATAGTGCGTTACAGTAAAAATTCCCCAAACTCGAATTTCAATAAATCTACCGTAACTCGGGAAGGAAGCCGCAAACGCCCAAATCTTTTTTTGGCTTTTTGTTACACTCACGTGCCCTATCGATCAGCAAAATATGAACTCAAACGGAGATGGGCACCTCGAGAGGTTCCCTTGTAAGATTTCGTTTTCTTGTCATTCGTGTTACTAGTGTTTTTGACGTTGATGTTGTGCTGCTATATATTTTTTGGCGTATTTCTCTGCACGTTGTTTAATGTGTTCGTTATCATGATAAAATATTATTTTAAGCTCACCATTAAGAAGATAAACTATTATCGAATACAGTACGAAAAACGATCAAAAAATACAATTCACAAACATGCATAATGTGATATGACTGATGTGTTGTTACAGTCATGCTTCAAATAGCCATCTGTTCCATTTAAATCGTGGATATTTGCTTATTTGTGCCAAAGAACGCTGTGTTTTGTCGATAACATCTACCTCAAGGTTTCTCTGTATAATCCATACACGCAGATAAATTAGTTTACCCAAATTTTTGATTAATATCGGCACGATCATTTGAAAGTCATGTAATGTTTCTATTCTAAAAATAAAAACTTCGACATTTTTAAATAAATCCAAAATATGTTCATGAATAATTGAAGCTGTCAATCAGTCCGTTTGCACTTTCCCGATCGAGAAACATGTCCCGATCGGGAAAGACGTTATCTCATGAACCATAAGTCGTCTGTAGTGCGGCCAAGTTTTATTCTGTTGTTTAGGTGATTTACGTTTGCTCTATGTGAAGAGCTGAAGCTCCTCTTTGATCGTTGGTTAGGTGCCATGCTAAAACAACTTTTGCTGAAAAATCCCTTATGTTTATTTCCCGATCGGGAAATTAGACACGATATTTCCTGTTCGGGAAAGATCAACTATTTTCCATTTGGGAAAGATGTATTTCCTGATCGAAAAATAATGCGATGCTATGCACTGTACTCTTCTTAACGCTCATTTTGACTTTCTGAGCGCTAACGTCTCAACCGGAACCCGATGAAGAGAAAAGAAATTGAATAATTTGTTCGACCACGTATCGAAAGCCGTTAGATTGTCCTATCCAATGGCTAAAGTTAGAGCTCATTAATTCAACTGTAGAGTTGTTGATGCCTCCAGTGAACTTTATGAAAGAAGTCCTTGCTTGAAAATGTTTGTTATTGACATTTTTTGTGGTGTGATCAAAACTTTAACTTTGATGAGTCATTCTAAAAACGATAGTGAAAATTACTAGGTCGTGTCCGAAATGTATATTTCGTTCTTCTTCCATGTGACTGTACTGTGCAGTTCGATTGTGAAACGTGTGCTTTTCAATTTTTTGCGACAATGCTTATTTTCTGTATCGTGAATATCTAAAGAGAAAGTAACAGACATGTCTAAAAAATACAACAATTTAGATTATACATATCAGTTCATCTAAAACATTTATAGTGAAACTATCCATTATATGTCATCTTCAAAGAGTCATCATACTGGTCGCATAAATATCAAATTTAAAACTGATGCTCAAGAACGTGCTCAGTCAAAATTCAAACGGAGAAAAACGATGTTAAAAAATGTAGGTGTTAATTTGTACATGTAAGTCTATAGATCAGTTAGATCTTTACACGTTGCGCTAGCCAATTTGAGATTCTGAGTTTGGTAGGCTTTGTAGTACAAACATTTGTTTTTAACACATTTAGATAAAAAACCACTTAGGTTCGATTGCAAAACTTTTCCACTGAGACTGCATAACTCTCTTTTCTGTAAGACTTGACTCATTCGTAAACATTTGCGCCAGTTTAACATATCTTTAGGTAAATTAGTTCTATGATACGTTCGGGAGGATGGTTTTATACTTATATTTTTAAATGCTGTTGTGCGAATCCAAATATACAAGATCAGAGTTACACTAACTTTTCTCAGAGTCTTGGAAGTAGTAAGAACAAAGAGTAAAAATTCTGTGCGTGTTCGCTATTTAGGAATAGTCGAAGTTCGTGCAAAGGCTTTATATTGCCTCACATATCATTGTAATATTCATCTTTGAGTTTTTATCCGTGATTTTATCAAATAAAACAAAAGAATGTTACTTTTTTATATATATCTGTATTTCGATTGACCGTCATCCAGATCTTCTCTGTAGGAACGCCATTGGGAAGTAAACTCTTAATGCTTTTATTGACATTTTCTAGTACAAAATCCAAGCCTTCGCATGACTCTGAATTTCCGGCTGTTGTAAATTTTTCTGTAGCCTCGTAATAAGCTCTTAATGTATTAGGCATAATAGTACGAAGTAAAGAATCATGGGCCATAATAAACTGATATTTGGAATGATTAGCTGAATAAAAGACAAGATCGACTAATGATTTTGTTTCTCTAAGAAAATTTGCATGGTTCTTCCGCACGGCATTTCGTAGGGCAACGACTCCAAATATAAATATGAACGTAACTTGCGCGTAAAACCGAATAGGTGGTAAAGATGTAGATAACCATTTCATAAATAGATTATAGTTTTTCGTTTTGCTTTTTGTTGTAGACAAATACCGATGAATCAGCTCGAGCGTATTACCATACAGCACGACTAATAACACCTCAATGGTTTTATCATGATCGGAGCAATTTTTCATATACTGCTGGGCTCTATCAGTCTTAAAATGTAGACAATCAGCTAGCTCATGTCCAAATATGTTTCAAATGAAAAGCATAATCGAGCGTCAAACGTTCATTTCTATATGTCCGAGACCTGGCCGAAGAAGTAAATCTTTGAATGACATATACTGAAGTTTGTTAGAAGAAATTTTTGATGATTTGCGAGTGCTATTATAATGTTCTTTCAGAGCACTGAAAGATTTACATGGATGATCACAGAGATCACAAAAAAAGTTAGAATTGACTAATTTCTGGGCAATACAATAGGGAATGCCGTCGATCACAATAGACATCCATTTACGTTGAGTTTGTGAACTGGAGTTTGATTGAAGAAGCCCTTCTTTCAAATCACATAGAATTGTCTCCACAGCATGAAAGGACGATGGATTTACAGTTTTGGGTTCCCCAACAATAATATTTGATTTCTGTGATGGACAAAAGCTACAATATACAAAACATTGCGTACTTTCTGATTGAAAGAGGTTAATGAAAAGGAATGCTAGTACTTTTGGTCCGACAGTTAAGTAATAAATGAATACTCACGATGGTATATTGAAAAATGCTTTCGATAGAGTTTTATTAACATTAATATTGAGCTGAGCTGATAAAGAGTTGATAGGTGGTGCGACTTTGACAAGTTTGACTTCACATTTATCACACTTTTGTCTAGCATTTCCATATACCCTGCTGCATCTTGCACATTCTAGAATTTTCGAAGAGACGTTCTCTATTTCAATAGCCTTGTCAATAAAATCACTACCATCAATGGTACTTTTCATTTCGATTACTATTAATTCGTTAATAAATAATTCGAAACTTGACTGTACTATTGATCGTTGGTTAAACATATTTATCATAATATCTTCGCTTTTATTTAATCCCTTTAGCTCATCAATTTTATCTTCACAAGCACTTTGTAATGCTTTTTCTGTACACCATTTGCCTAATCCTAACTGTTGTTTTTGGATGTCTAATGTGGAATACACCACTGCATGCACAATAGTGCTAGAAACACTAGATAGGTTGTCAATATTGCAAATAGAATATGATTTTCCAATGACCTGATTATTATCAAAGCATGTTTTGATGTCACCTTCGGGTACTATTAATGATGTTTTATCTTGCTTATTATACCATCTATGAATTATGTCATAGCTACCACTAGGATCTGATGCATTTAATATTTTCACAGCCAAGGCGCTACCCGTACATAAATATGTCATCAATGCTTCGGAAAAACTCAGTGGCATAAGACAATTACCATTGGCAGCTGAAAAGATAATTTCATGTATTCTACAAATTTTATAACGAGTACGTTCTTCATGTGTACAATCAAATAAATTTTGTAGTAGATACAACGTTGCTTTTGGCATGCACTTCATCGATAAATTTATGTTTATAGATGAGAGTGTTTGTGGTGCTAAGTTGTAAACGGAGTTGGTCACACATTTTGCCTTCTTACATCGCTGTTTAATAGCATCTCCAACTGCTGTATGGATTATCCTGTCTTCATAAATCCAGTTTCATAAAATTTTTCATTTTTATGTACCTTGTGGGTTAAAAGAATCAACATCCAAGTTTGCTAAATTTTACGAAACTTGTTTCCAAGTTTCATAAATGTGTGATTTATGCTGTTGCAGGTTTAATTGATTAGTTTCTTAATTAATTGTAGTATTAATATGTTACCTAGAGACATACAACATTATATAATTGGTATATGTCACATAGAGACGTGTGTTTGTGGTGTTTTAATTGAAAATAATGATTTATTTAATTAAAAACAGTATCTATGTGTCTCTTGGTGCTATATGAGGCTCGTAGAGACGCAGTGACTCAACCTAATAGAGGTGCTAATATCTCACGAAGATAGGTATGAGTTACTTTGAGCCACGACTGATTCAAATAAAAATGTGGAATTTTATTCTAAAACTGTATATACAAGTCTCTAACTGAGATGTGAGTCTCTCAGAGAGATATGCTTACTCGTACAAGAAGCGGTATTTTGAACGGGAGAGATATGTGTAACTTGGTGAGTTATGAATCGCTCAGGGACGTGTTCTAACTAAATCAATTGAATAAAAACTCTATGTTTTATTTTAAAAGGGCAAAAAATCACCCTCTCAGAGACCTATACGTTGCTCAGAGACATATTCTGTTGATATTAAGGAGCTCAGTGACAGATATCGACTTCTATTTTCATTTTAGAATTCTGTGAGTAACTTACTGAGAGATATATAAAATAATTTGCAGTTCTATTTTGGCACCAGCTGGTTATGAATCATCAACAGAGAGAGATCCAGTGTGTCGTGTAGTCTTTATTCTTTTTTTCTATCTACTGTTCAATATATGTCACTATGAGACTTATACTAATATACTACTGTAACAACCCTCTTAGAGACATCTGCTAACCTATGGTGAGCTTTAAAATTTTACAACCAACCATGCGTAGCACGAAATCCCTCAAGCTTAGTTTCTTTGGCTATCCGTAAATCCCACCGTTGTATGTCCAAATCGTGAACTGCCAGGCTTTTTTCACGTGCACCAACTAACTTTTTGTAAAGTAGTTTGTCCAAATTTTGCGTTTTTTGTCTGTTAGTTCCATGATGCTGAAGATATTTTCGGAATGAGGAATATAATGTCTGTTTAGGATTGTTCTAAATCTATGATGAATTGCCTTCCAAGAACGACCATGTTTACTTCCAGGTCCTGCATGATCAACGAAATCAATTACTTGACGCATAAAATCCTCTGAAAAACTTTTTAAATCATATTTTTCTAACACTATTCTTTGTTCGTCCAGTCCTCGACCACTTCTTCCTCTTCATGCTGCTCTTCTTTCTCACTATCTTCTTCGTCTGTAAATCCAGCAAAATCTATGGTTGTTTCTTCGTCATAATCAACCTTCTGTCCGCTGACCATAAGTTTTACTGTATCGTCAAGATATTCAGCCATTTGCCGCTCCTGTAACGTAACTGGAGACGGCTCTTTATTGAATAACTCAAGAGAAACTAAATCACTCAAAGTTGAGGGAATATCCTGTGCGTTCATTTATTTTCACGTGAAATTATAAGAGATCGTTTAACTGAACGGACACTTCTCGCATTTCAGTACCGCATTTAGCGTTGACTGTTCTACTTTCAACTCACACTTCGATGTAAGATTAAAGTGTACAAATAGTTTTAGGAACTTTTCTTCTCAGGCGTATTATGCTATCGATTCCTTCAATCTACTGAATCATTCATCTTTCATTCCTCGAATATTATCTTTTAACTACATTTTAACTACAGGACATAGCTTTCTTTTCTATCACAATCTATCGAAGCTGATTGTATCATGTGTGCCGCAAACAAGTACTGAATGCGTTTGATGAGTTAAAAAACAGATCGAAAAGAAAAAAAACACGAATTTTCTGTACGGAAATGTGTACAGAGAAAAATCGGTTTTTCGCTGTTTCTTTTTAGTTCTCGGCCTAAAAGACTCGCTCAAAATCTCACAAAGAGCCTTGAAAAGATGTTTTT